GGGTGACTCTATGTGAATGTGTTGAGACACCTCTGAACTGGCAGAACTAGGCCGTGTATGTTCCTGAAACCTGGCTTTTAGAGACCTCTCCGTTTCACCAATATAAGTTTCCTGGCAGGGCCCCCTGTTGTTCTTGCCCTGGCAGGGGATGTGGTAGATGACACCACACTTCTTCTCTTTGGGGGTTTTATCCTTGGGCGCAACAAGAATGTGTCTTAAAGTAGTGGTTGGTTTGAAACAAGTTGCAATTTAGACACTGAACAAGACTATTTTTTGAGAGGGGTGAAGGAAGCCATTTACATCAGGGCCCATCACCCTACATTGAACCGCGACGGGGGCCGACATCGTCTACCAGACACCTTTGACCCAGTGTTGACGTCACACTTCAAAGAAGCCACGTGACAAGCTTCACTGGGTCAGTCTACTGAGGAAGACCAGAGTGACTGGTTGAAAGCTCTAGGTGAGAGAATTTTTGTGTTGGATCAAGAGTTTTAACTTTAAACATGTAACTACCAACACAGATGAACTTTTATGATAGTACAGGTAGATATTGATTATGCAAATGAGAACCTAATTTACATAATTAATGAGAAAATGTTATAATTCCATTTCGGTAACTGCCTGGAATTTTATACTTGGAATATGAATGGTAAGTGAAGGTAAACATCATTAAACGTGACTTATTTAAATAAGGAGTTCCATTTGCATAATTTATGAGGAAATACTATAATGGCATTCTTTGTTACAATGCAACGCCTTTTGGTGTAGGATATGATCAACATGGTATGACTAACATGATATGATTGATGGAAATTATTGAGGATCCTACTTACACAATCAGGGGATTAATCTATAATTTCTTAGTAATAAAGGCTAACATAATTTGGTGAAGGTATAATATCCTGGAACTCTAGTTGGTATTTGGTACTATTATTTTGTACAGGAAAAAAGAAACATATTCAGCAATTTATATCAGGGGATATTTGACCTGTAAAAGAAGAATCATCATTTATTACCTGAATATGTTTATCTCCAGCATGGCCATGAATGTTTGTGTCTGCTTCTCACCAAGACGAGCGCTGGCAGAGGAGCTGGCACTGAAGCCTGATGATTGTCTGGATGTGCCCCTCTGACTTGATCTTCCTTCTCCTGCTGACCAACCAAGTCCAAACGCTCCACCCACTGCTACATGTCCAGAAGCCTTGTTGATCTCTTCCTGGAACATGGCCTTGGCAGAAGTGACGGCCGATTTCTCCGCAAGGTATTTTCTGTATTCTTCCGTTGAGCTGAAGGTGTAGGATTCTACATCTGTGTCGTATATGCCTTGCACGGTCATAGAGTCAGGGACTTCGTTTTTACCGTATCTGTTCAAAGACAAAAAAAGTTACTACGTATACTGTTCTCTATGTGGAGATTGCCAATAAAGCAAAGTTAGTTTAGATGTATAATAATATTACTAAAAATGACATTCCTTTGACTCAGTGTTCTAGTAAGTGCACTTTATTCAATTATCCGTATTCTGCACACGAACACACACACAAGCGCAGACGTGTAGATAATTAAATGTAGGTAATTAGGTGGTGTCAAAATAATCGGGTTCGTCTGGCTATAACTAACTTACAGATTGATTTAAACACTTACTTATCAGCAAGATAAACTTAACCTAGTTCAGGATAGGGGGTTTATATCATAAAGTCATTAGTTGTTAGTAGGGGTCCAAAGAAATTCTTAATGAAAATAAGTACTAGTAAGTAGTTCTTACGTTCGCAAGTTTTTGCATGATCTCTGGATGACACTTTTCTTCCTAGATTCAGCCGAGTACACGCCTCTTCCGTCAAACCCGACGCCGAGGTAGGTTGCGCCGTCAATCAGATTCTGAAGATTGGAAAGGTTTAACAACTTTTGTTTTCAAGATACATGCAAAACAGCTCTAAATAAAAATCGCTAAATGGCAAAAGATGGGAAAGCTTCCTAAACTTTTTATTGCCGTAGTACTTGTGATCATTAATGCCCACCGTTTAATGTGCATGAATCTTAACACAGAGGCAGATTAAGATAGATTGCACAGATAGATGGATTATTAAATCGCTCTCTGACAGATAGACAGACACAGGACGTACCGGACAGCCTGTCCTTGGTATCTTGGCCTTAAAGCAGGGGTCTCCATTCTTATAGCCTGTCCCGAAGCAGCCGTTCATCAGAACTGGTCCTAGTCCGGCTGGGTAGGTGTAGGCTGATGCCTGTCCGCCGAAACTGACCTTTTCATTTCTTTAAAATTACAGAAAAATCATATTTTTGTGATACGAGCAAACTTGAACTTGATGAGTCCCCGTCTGAATTTAATAAACTGGTGCCATGTGTTTTATTGACGTTTATAATATCATATTTGTGCAGGTAATGATCTCTCAATACAATTTCTATAAAATCCAATTAGCAAAATATGTTTGAACCACCGTTGTTGATATCTGTTGGGGAAATGCACGGTGTATCTGTTAACTGTATCTGTTTACCTTGTTTTGTTGTGACCTGTGCTTAGCCAAGTGTGGCAAAATGTTCATTGAATGTCATAATTCAATCATCTATGCATTTAATTGCCGCAATATAGTAATTAAGACAATGAAAGGGAGTAGGATTGTGAAAAACAACTGTGAACAAACCTGTCTTCCTTGTACTTGTACTTATGTCGGATCTCCCAGCCTGGTGGTGCATACATGTTACCCATCGTGGCTCCTGGTCTAGGAACAAGCTGGATGTCCGCCTATTACACGTAATATGTTTTTAAAAAGAATACAGTAGATATATATTCTTACAGTGTCATACTGTAATGTGCACCAGTCCATTTTTAAAAAGTTCATATGATAAATAAATTATTATTCCATCTTATTTTCACAGAACTGCTCTTCAATATGTTGGTTTGCACACAAATTTGAACTCTTTTGTAATGGTAGGGGCGGCCTAAATCTGGTCGGACTACTTCCGAACTTCAGTCAGCCTTGATTGACTTGTGTTCGGTGAATATGTTCTAAATATGTAACAAGAGCTTTACCAACCTCCTCAACCGGCCGGTTCAAACCCGCTGCCAGCCCACTGGTGTCCTTCAGCAGTTCTTTGTACTCATCGTCGAACTTGTCCATCTGTTTACCCAGGTAGTCCTGCAGACCGCTCACCACCTTCTCCTGGTGGTTCTCCACTACACCGTCCGCGATCCTGTCGCCAAGCTTGCTGACGACTTTTCCCCCTATTTCTTTCGCTGCTGCTGCCAGAAATGCAGGAACTGCCTTTTTGTTCTCCATGTGGCCGTCAGAAGAACTTGCAGCCTTGGTCTGGATTCCTACATCAATATTAAAAGTAATACTATGATTTTTTGCCGTAATCGGTGCACACCCCAGTTCTTCCGCGACAGGGGTCAGCGATAGTCCGTTGTAAAAAAAAAAAAGTGACAAAAGGGTTTTGAGGGTCCAAGTTTGAGGTGACATTTCTCACAAACTGAAGTATCATTAAACATTAACATGACTGAAGAGTGTAAGAAATGGTGATTTGGGGGTGAAAATTTCTTTTGGCTCCGAACCTTACTTCCGGGTATCCTTGCGCGCCAAGTGTAATCCGCCCGTTTGACCTAGATTTCGCTCTGCGGCTTCGTAGGGGTGGATTTGCAACTCCTCGCGCCGTGGACTGTTTAAAAAAAAATCAGTACTAGAATTTTCTTTATTATTTACTCGGGTTTAGTCACGGCTTGGGTCTTTCTGCCAGCATCAGTCATTTCTGCCGGAAATTTTTTCTTCGGGATTATCCTTTGCAAAAATTAGCAATTTTGGGCATTAATTTTGGAGTGAAAATAATGTCATTTCCGTTGATTTTACCAAACTTAAAAAGGTTGAAGAAACCAAACTCAGATGGTCTTGTAGCTGAAGAGATATCCTTTTGTCCCATATACAGTTATTCTCCTTCCGAATTATTCCACGCCAGAGACGGTCGCTAGATTTGAGGGTGTGCAGCTCCAAATAGAGACGCCAAATAATAGCGCATATAAAATTAACCTAGAGCTTAGTCGATGTCATTCTACTAGATTAAATCTATCAAAGTGAAGTAACTTGTTTATGGCATCATTATTGTCCATTATTGTCCATTTAGTGTCCATCAGACTCATTTGCAGGCTCAATAAATAGTAGAAATCGGAACATCATTGGCCAGAGGAGTTGGCCGGCCATAGAGGGTCCAGCTGGACCCTTTTAAATGCAGCATCGCATACGCATTTACGTTAATTTAAGGTACCTTTTTTTGAAAAGATTTTTGGCACAAAAATTATGCCATCTACGCTAGGGGTAGTATGCTTTGCTTTCAAGAGGGACATAACCATGTTTGAGATGGATGGGGGGGGGCAGGCTTAAGCTAATGGTGACAACTTCATCATTTGGCATTGACAAGGTATGATATTGTTGGTTATATGCAAGCATGACCTGTGACATACCTTTGCCAAATCATGCTAGCTGTCCAAACAGACTAATTATGTACATTTTTCATGCAAATTTGCAAATTATTAGGGCTCATTTGCATACATTATATAATTTGATCATATTCTCCACCCAATGACAAGATTAATTAAGAAATAAGGCTATTCTAGCGTTTCCTTAAATTATGCAAATGAGGTACAGATTTGAATAAATAATGTTAAGTGATGTTCACATTTACTGAACATCCAATTATGGCAAGTATTAAATTCCCAGCAGTTAACAACATAAAATTGTACCGATTTTCAATTATTTATGCAAATTAGGTCTTTATTTACATAACCAATATCTGCCAATAATCTTGTCGCTCTCAATTACATATGCCATAAGTGTTTAATAGCCCTAATATTATGGAATACAGCAGATTTATAGAATTTACACAATATGAAATTATGAAAATTAGATCATGATTTGCATAATTGTGGTTTAATTGTGTCAAGCATGGCATAAGCTACCTTTATACCAAAAATTACGAAGACCCGTCTAATGGTTATTTAGTTACCCTTTCTCGGAGATTTTTCAGAGAAACCAGCCTGCAGTTGCAGAACAATCTCACGTGACTCCTTCCCTAGGACAAGAGTTTTCTACCATCTAAAATTCGCGACCTTAACATGTCCAGATCACGAGATGTCAAAACCGGAAGTTGCGCTGCAGTACCAAGGGAAGCTACTAGGGGCCCAAAATCTAATCATTTTCAGGCTTTGTCAGACCCTACCGACACACTAAGTATGAAACCAATCCATCCAGTCGTTCTTGAGTTATTTTGTTGACTAACAGACAGACTGACAGACTGACAGACCGACAAAAGCAACTAAAAATATAACGAAAAACATCCTAGCGCAAATAAACTTACACAAACAAACCTGGGTGTACAAGTACATCACTGCGTCAACAAGTACGGTAACAACAAAACAGTCACAAGAGAAATTAACACAAATTCACAAATTTTACAATAAAGCATGTAAAGTATCCCTTCTTTTACCACAAACCAAAATGAAGGGACAAAAAATCTCAGAAGGCCAGAACTGCTTTGTTATACAAATCCTAGATCCTAGATCACGATGGTCAGATTTGGGCCCAAAAGTCCCACTCCGCTACTATGGAGATCGAATCCCCCGAACCCGCGAATCTTGTTCGATATGACGTCATTCGAATAGAGCGGGCGTTCGATCCGGGGTTACCCGCGGTCATTTACAGTAAAGCCGCTACAACCGGCTACTTCAAGCCCTTTTTTACTTGGGAACCACGGAACAGGAAAAATCAACCTTTCCACAAATATGAACCGTTTTCAAAACATTACATCTATGCCGTGATTTTATTGTGGATATGTAACATGTAACGAAGCTACTGCCGTCATCGTGGGTGACCTTGAAGGTCAGAATTCTTGTTGACGCTGTTATAAAATCCAGGTCCCCATATCCAAGTGTCATAGCACGCGTGCAAACATGGTATTTTAACCACTCCCAAAAATCGTTCAAATTACCTCATTGAGGTCTTGTTTGGAAGAGGAACGATTTCCGCAGATTTCTGTCTTAGGGATTTTTTAAATATGGCCGCGATTATGAATTATCGGTATTTAAAGTTAAAACAGTGCGTTTTTGGCTCTTCTTTTGACTGTAAGACGAGTTTTAAGTTAAAAAATAAAAAAAATCCTAAGACAGAAAGTTTAAATTTACTGTAATATTTCTAAAAATCCAAAAATCTAACCTTATTTTTAATTTTCGGGGCCTCTTAAAATCAGTTGTTTGGTTCTCGTCAACCCTTTTTGAAATCCGAAATTGATCTCATTTGGAAGCAAATGTACACAAAGTGGAGCAAAGGCAGTGCAAGAATAACATTTGAGGTAAACAAAATCACTTATTACATTTTATTTTGACGAGTATTTACTCTCCAATTACTTTTGTTT